TTAAAACTAAAGTTCATTACGATAACAAGTTCAAATTTTTACAATTAAGTATTTACAAATTTATAATTTTATATTCACATATTAATAATTGATTGTTCATTAGTAAGCAAAGTTAAGGTTCTTTCTTTCTCACTAAGAAAAATTGTGTCTTTTTATCTTTAAACATATTTGCAAAAAAGGCTCTTGAGCTTATAGAATGATTTCATAATGCTGTGAGCCCCAAATGCAATTTTTTCTCCCTTAGGGTCTCAGACTAGATTCTCCCTTTTCTAAAATTTTGAGCTTTTATAAGCTCGATTTGATATTTATAGTCACTTCTAATTCCAAAACTCCCTTCACAAAAAAAAAAAGAAAAGAAAAGAAAACTTTACGTGATCAGAGCTTTCCAACGATATGAATATTGAGAGGTGTTGAGCAAGTTTAAGGATTATGACTCAAAGCAAGTATTGAATTTTTTTAAACCAAGAACCGTAAAAATTTGAGATAAGTGAGTACTAAAATTTAATTAACTCCCTTTGTTGAAAAAGGTTTGTTTTTCCTCTTTGGCTGTGGTAAGATTGGGCCCTAAGCATAAAAAAGAGGAGTTCAATTTTAAGAATTAATCAACACTTGGAACTTTGATAAATAATTGTGAGTAACTTAGAACCGGTTATTGAAAATTGATTTTGGCATTAAATCAGAAGTTGGAGTGATTTTTCTATTTATGGATCAATTAATGTGAATTTTCAATGTATTTTTGGTATGAGCAATCTAGGCAATGTTTGACCAGGAAATTATTTTAATTAAGAACTTTAGGTAATAAAGATCTTATGATTAAATTTTCATAGTAATAAGAGCATAATTGAGTTATTATTAAATACTAGAGATTCTCATAAAAGGTGCTTTTTACAATAATTGCGAAAATTGGAACTTATAGGCCTTTTATTAATTTTTAGAAATGATATGACAATGAATAAAAGATTATAAAAGTTTGGAATTGTGAAATTCATTTGGCATGCTTGAATGCAAATTTTAATGGAATTTTGAAGATGAATTTTGAAGGTGGATATATTGGGAATTAAGTCTTAATTGGAGGAAGTGAATATTTTGATAAATTAGAGTGTGTACTAATAATCTATAATTTTAACAAATTAGTTGAGTTTGAGAAATTAGGATTTGGAATGTTGGAGGAGGAAATCGAATTGGTGATTTTAGGGAATTGTGAGTTTATTTATAATTTTTATGGCTATGAAATATCGTACGAAAATACATTGAGGTGTTAAATTTATTAAAATGTTGATAGGATTGGAGGTTGTTGAATTAGAGACAAAATATTAAATTATTAATGATTATTGAGGGTGGTGAAGGTTTTGTGGTATGGAAATGATTCAAGTTGGTTTTGGTTAGCAATTTATAGAATAAGGACTAAATTTATAATAGAGCCAAGTTTGAGAAAATTTTAGAGTATTTTGGTGAATGAACTTTTTTCTATTGTTATATTGACATATTATGTTACGAAATTACTGTGTAGATTAACTGTATTTATTGTTGTTGGATTCAAACATACAAGTGGCATGGGTGCACTTGAAAAGGAGGCAACAATGGTTTATTCTATTTATATTGGGAAAATTGGATTTTATATTAATGTTTATGCTTGTTTATGTAAGCTGTATGGGAATACTATGCCCATTGAGGGCTTGATTTGTTTCTTATCCTAGATTTGAGAATATGTATTTAAAACTATGTAGCATGCTTGATTGTTATTAAATTGCTATATATAGCTTTTTTTAAGCATGCTAGTTGTTACTGTTGATGAAATTATTTGTGAAAATTGATTTATGATAATAGTTTGATACTTTCAAGCATACTTTGTTATTTTGAAAATTTGAAATGATATGGTTTGATATTTTCAAGCATGTTTTGTATTTTTGAAATTATTTTAAAATATGATGCAATTTGTAGAAAACATAAGAAAAAATATTGTATTTGTGGTAGATGTGATGGGAGATTGATATGATATAATTTACTGTTCTGCGTATTGTATGCCTCTGTTGAGTGCACGATGGAAAGCAAGGCCCCTTTCTCCCATTGTGGGATTATGTGATATGAAGGCACTTTCTTTTAAGGAAGAGATTAAATGTATCCTCAAGCTCGACTCTAGCTTATCATTATAATGTAGAAAAGGCAAGATATAAGAATATGTTAGGGATTGACATCACTTGTTATATGGTTTTTCAATGAATGAAATATGTGGTGTCTGATGAAATTACACCTCCAAAATAAGAATACTACAAGCATATGAGCTTTGGCTCAAAAAAATGTGTAATTTGATTTTCCATGTAAGTTGATATGAATGATAAAATGAAGGGTTTTCAATAATTTACTCTTCAAAACAATTCAATAGGCATAAAACTTTCCCATCCTCCATACTTTTTTGTCTTTTAGCCTTCAAATAAATTTTCACATCAATTCTAGTGAAATCAAGACTAGTTTGCCTATTGGCTTGCTTATTCGTGAGACCAAAAGTTGCTTTTTGTTTATGTCTAGTATCGCTAACTATTAACTAAATCAATCTTATATGCTTGCACATTACTTATATTTTCTTGAGACCTCATCATATGTGTCACTTCTTGAAAATGTAATGGGTAGTTATGCTCTTATATAAAACTGATAATCTTGAATTTACCTTATACTAAGTTAACCATCATTCTGACTTACTATTGATTATAGTCTTAGGATGATGGTTAGTAGCTATAGTGTATTTTTTGTCTAGTTTCGTTTTGCCCCCTTTTGAACATACATATTTATTGGCAATAATTATTTTTTTATTTATTTTTTACTCTTTGTGAACCCTTTTTTTCTTGCACTAAAGTCCACTCTAAAAGCATAACCATTCAAAAACCTCAATACCTCCTGTAAGCTATCAAATTCTTTTTGCAATCTAGGAGCCAAATCAGCCTCCATAGATTGGAACTTACAAAATAAATCTATGTGTGACACGCATTATAAGCTTATAAAAATTACTTTTGTGAAAATTAGAAATTGCAAAAATTTTAAAAAACAAAATCATAAAAAAATTATAAAATGAGGGCCAAGTATGATTGACGAATTAAAACACACACACGCATTGGAATTCCATAATAGATGGGCCTTTCAAGACCCAGAGATTACGTAAGATAAAAACAATAAAGAAAAAACTACAAAGCAAAAAAGAAGAAATAACAATAAGCCAAGTCTATAGAAGTCTGACCTCTTAATGTACCACGTGTTAACAAGAAAGAACCCAACAAGTGTTTCAATTCCAACAGATCGTTCCTACTTCTGCGCTGGTCTACATCATTTTTTCGTTGTAGCAGTGTTAAAGCCTCTGTCTCATTTATTTTTTTATTGTTTTGACAACAAATAAAGCTTTTGCAGTGTTAAACAAGAGCAAGATGCTATTTTTTCATAACTTAATAATAATAAAAACCTTCATGCACATTGCAAAGGAGAAAAGTTTACATTAGAAAAATCCTTACAACAGATATTTATGTGATGTTAACCATGAAAATATCCAAAAGATGTCTTTTTTTTTTTTTAAATGAATCACTTTTTATCATACATTGCCTATGATGAGCTTTTCCCACCAAGTTTACCGGTCACAAGTCATAGAATGTCCAAGTTCCTTTGAGGGCCTCATTGTTTCAGAACATGATTTAATGGTTTCTGAATTGAACGGCCACGATTATGACATAGCGAACGACGAAGATGAATTTTTAAAAACAATCTGACGTGTCTCTTGCTAGACAATTGGATCAATTAGACGACTGGCATTTAGAAATGTGCGCAGCTGCTGAAAAAATGGCTTCTGGGAGGATCTACTCCCAGCAATCAGCAAGGAGCAACTTCTTTGATACAATTTTTTGGGAGTAATGTATGCATTTCTTCGATTAAAAAAAAGGAATATAAAACACTGAAACCCAAAACTTTGCATAGCCTTCTATCCACTTTGAATATCAAATGATTAGTCTTAGTAGTTTATATTAGGGTTGTTCATGGGACGACACTCTTATCCCTTCTTCAAAAAAAAAAAATGAGATTAAATTTTTATCCCGTATCCCGCTCTGTTAGGAATAGGGACGAGATTGAGACATCCCGCAATCCTGATAAATCAGATAATGTCAAAGAAAAAATATGGATGATAACATTCATTAAATTTTAAAGCATATAATTTATTAAGTTTAAAATTAAAATAATACAAGTATATAGATCACAATAATTTAAAGTTAATTATTAAATTATATTAATCATAACTATAAGTGTATAACATTGTGATAAAAATTATAAGTAACCTTTAGGCTACAAAAGTAGCAAAAACAATCAAGCCAAGTATAATATGAAATTATTATTTTTTATTTTAATTGAGATATGCTAAGCTAATTATTCTTTTAAAAATAAAATAAAAATACAATACAAATAAAAGTTATTAAATAAATAGATATAAAAATAAGTTGTATAATATAATTAATATATTAAAAAAATTTCACCCTATTTATTTCATGTCATTAACATTATTAATATAAAAAAATTTTAGTTTTAAATAATAATTACACATATTGAAATTATAATTAATATAATTAATATAAGTATAAATATATTAATATAATTAATATTTTTAATATATATTTTTAAAATAATATATATATATAATATTTGGGACGGAACGATGGTAATCCAATATTCTATCTTATCCCATCCTGAACTTCTTTTTTGATCATGTTTCATAAAGTTCTATCTTAATTATTTTCAAGTCAAGATGAGACTCATTTTAATATAATTAAAATGAAATCAAATTAATTCAAATGAGTAAAAACTGGACACTCTTAGTTCATGAAGGATCAAATAGAGAATTGACCAGTCAGCGAACTTAATGTAATCCCAGCCGTCGATTTTTTTAAAGTCTCTTTTTACCAAATTAAACCCTACCCCTTTCGAATTTCGATCACCATGTGCCCAAAATCTGCCGCTGCATCTCAATGAAAGGAAGAATGTCGATCTTCAGATCATCGAAGCTTACACCTCATACTCCGTCGACCACCATCAACGTAGTTCAAATCGCCATCATCGAAGCTTACACCTCATACTCCGTCGGCTCTAGTCTTTAGCTCATCGATCACCACCATCATCTCCATCAACCTCTCGTTCTCCATCATCACAGCTCACACTCGCAGCCATAGGTCATCGCCTTCTTTTGGGTGTTCTTGCTCTCCCTCGCTGCTGGCTGCTAGCTCTCCGCTGGGCATTGGCTTCCAATCTCTTGCTGGTTCGTTTTCTTTTTCTTTTTAAATCTATTTTAGTTGCTACTGCTTCTGTATTTTTATTTATTTATTTTTATTTTTACTTTTTTAAATGGTGCGTTTGATGTTGGATTCTCGTCATTTTCTCAACACTTGGCATTTGAAATGTTTAAAAATTAATAATAAAATATTAAATTGTTAAAAATAAAATAAATAAATTTAAAGTGCTAAAATTTGATTAGGATAATGTAGAATTGTAATAAAAATATTAAAAATTTATTTGAGAAAATGTTAAATGTATATTACTCAATTTTTGTTGGGTAGTATATTACTCAGTTTAATCCAACGGTTGAGACGAGGAGGGGACCTAAATTCGCACCTGTTGGATTGGATCAGGGTGAATGAGATGGGCTACATGATGGGCTTCTTGTTCAATAGCCCAGTCTGAGACAAAGTTGAAGCATGCCCTGCGACTAGCGTTAACTCAGTTTCACCATGCAGATATTCTTCTTGGATTTTCCTTTGCCTCTCGTTGACGCGGCCTCGGGGCACCGCACTATAAATATTCGGCCCGTTGCCCGGAATTGTTCTCTTCGTCCTAAGCCAAAAGCTTAGCAAGGGAGCGGGGGAAGTTAAGAGTTCGCCAATCATACGGACCGACGAGGTATGGATCTCATTGTTTATTGTGTGCCTTCATTTGAATTTTTTCTTTTTCTTTTTAAATTTTCCTTGTGCATTTGTTACCCTCACGGGGTTTTCTAAAGCGCCGTCCAACTATTCGATAGAAAGCCAAACCTGTAGTTTGCGTTCTTTGACTAACGGATCGATTGAAGTAACCCTGTGATCATAGTAGCTTGACCCTTTGGTATTCTTCTGTCTGATTCTGTGTCTTTCTTTCCTCTATAAAGTCTTGACATATCGCAAAATGCATGAATAGCTGAAGTAGGCAATCTTTGTATCTTCTGTAGTCTAGTGTGTGGTATTCTGACAATCGACATGGAGTTGTATCAGGTCATTGATATAATGTCGTTGAGGGGTTTCTTTGGCTTTTCTGATGGGGAGCTCATGAGGTCTGATGCAAAGCCTTGTTCTAGACTCATGAGACAGACGGCTGGAATTTTTACTGTTGGTGGAGGATTAGCATTTTGGATTCTCTGCCGTCTGCATTACGGTTTGTTCTGCTATTTGCGGTCAGCCTTTTGTTGCTCTATGTGCATGTTTTTTCACCTGATTCATTAAAATCAATTGACCTATACCTCTTAAGCTTGATGTATGATGTATGATGTATTCTAAAGTAAATCTGCACTTTTCGTTTCGTTGGTTTCTCTTCCTAATTCCATTCCTAATGTTCTGAACCCCCAGTTATTTCTGCTCTTGATGATGGTTAAACGTTTATGGTAATTAGCGTTTCTATTTCTGGTCATTGAAGCAATTACAGTGTTTGCAAAGCTATTCTATTCTCTCTAAAAGTAAAATCGATGTCAATTCACTCTGGTCAAGTGACTAGCTGTTTCGCTCTAACATCTCCCCAAGTCCCAGGAGGTAGATTCCTAGAAGTCGCGAATGTACAGGGGGGCATGCAGGGGCTGTGGCCCCCCCATGCTTCAATTTTTTTTTTTTTAAAAAAAGGTAGTTATAATGTTGTTTATGAAAAATGTAGAAATCAATGTCAGTCCCCTACATTTAGAGAAAATTTCAGTTATGGCAGCCTGGTGTATGGCAGCCTTCTCACTTTTGTTTCATTTATGCATGCTGGTGTGCTGAGGCTTCTTAACACTCAAATATGGCAATACAATTAGGTTGCTATAGGCTCACTGTGCAGTGCTTTCCCTGATGTATCAGAAACTGGCTCTCCCTTTTCTCTTCAGTCAACCCGATTTTGCAATATGTGTGAAAAGGCTAGAAGATTGAGCTTATCTTTACAATTCCAGTTTTTTTGAAGTAGTTCGTGGGTGTTCTTATTTGTTCGACTTGGACATGCAGGTCCTCGAATTACAGTTCCAAGGAGTCTTCGTTGGGCAGCTTGTGGAGCTGTAACTGTTAGTTCAAGCACTGCTTTGTTGGTTCGGCTGTTTAGTCCTGAATGCGAGCCCCAGAATATAGCTGCTTATGACAAGAAGAAGTAGGGCCGAGATAACCTTGCTAGTACCCCTCCCCCTAAATTGGGAGGTAAATCATATTGCATCGCTAGTGGTTTCTTTGGAAACAAACTTTGGTGGGTGTGCGCATCTGATAATTGATAACAGACGCTGCAATATGTAGATGTGTGCATGTGAGAATGAATTGAGATGCGTGTATAAATTATGTGAATTTAATCATATGGAGGGTTCAAATTGGAACTAAAGTATCACTACCATTAGCACACGTTATGTTTCAAAGTTTGTAAAAGACGATAATCCAGCTGGTCCTGACTTTGAGTTATTTGTTAGTTCAACGTTGGCGTCTCAAAATTGATGCTTTTTTTGGATAAACTAGACTGTTTTACGTGTTGGATTTAAAAAAATTACAACAAACACTTTGGATATTATTTATATTGACACATCTAAAATTGTTAAAATTTTAAAATTTTCTCTATTTAGTCTTCTTTTTTTGAATATTTTGTTTATATATATCTTGTCTTTGTTTCTCAACTCTATAGTAAATTACAAATATAATTTGAAATGATTGAATTTTTAATTATTCCATCATACATGATTATGGCGTGAAAACTTTTAGATAGGTATTCTTTCTTTTTTATTTAAATGATGTAGAAAATTTGAATTATGTACTTTTTTTTATATTTGAAATATATAAAACATAACTATATTTCTTATTTTGATTTCATATTTACAACATATTGTCAGAAAAATTATAACACAAATGTTTTGTCATTAAAATTGTATATAATTACATGTCTAATAACTTAAAAATAAAATAATTAATCTTTGCAAATTGTTAAGGTTTGATATAAGAACATTGTTGAATTATGTACTTTTTTTTATATTTGAAATATATAAAACATAACTATATTTCTTATTTTGATTTCATATTTACAACATATTGTCAGAAAAATCATAACACAAATGTTTTGTCATTAAAATTGTATATAATTACATGTCTAATAACTTAAAAATAAAATAATTAATCTTTGCAAATTGTTAAGGTTTGATATAAGAACATTGTAATTAACAATATAGATATAGCTAAGTAATATAGATAAACAATCATCAACAATATGAAAAAGTTATATAAATTAATATATTTTTATTCTATTTTGTGGTAGCAGAGTACAAGTTAATTTTCTATTGTCCAGCATAAGTGACAACAAAGATGTTCTCCAAGAGGTACAACAAACTCTCTCAGATATTTAAATCCATGCCATTAGCACTCCATGAAAAAGTTGAGACAAATGGAGTTACTGTTCCCGTAAAACTTAAATTTTTATATTTAAAATTTAATAATGAGATACATAAATTATTAAAAACAAAAATTAGAAAATATTGAGAGATGTGAGATAAATGAAAAAGTTGAAATGGATGGAGTTATTACTCTCATAAAACTTAAATTTTATATTTAAAATTTAATAATGAGATATATGAATTTTTAAAGAGAGAGACTAAAGAATATTAAAAGATGCGAGATAAATAAAAAAGTTGAGAAGGATGGAGTTACTGTTCCCGTAAAACTTGAATTTGATATTTAAAATTTAATAATGAGATACATGAATTTTTAAAGATAGAGACAGGAGAATATTAAAAGACACGAGATAAATGAAAAAGATGAAATGGATGAAGTTACTGTTTCTGTAAAACTTGAATTTTATATTTAAAATTTAATAATTAGATACATGAATTCTTAAAAACAAAAACTGGAGAATATTGAGAGACGCGAGATAAATGAAAAAGCTGGGACGAATGGAGTTACTTCTCTCGTAAAAATTAAATTTTATATTTAAAATTTAATAATTAGATACATGAATTCTTAAAAATAAAGATTGAAGAATATTAAAAGATGTGAGATAAATGAAAAAGTTGAGACGAATGGAGTTACTGTTCCCCGTAAAACTTGAATTTGATATTTAAAATTTAATAATGAGATACATAAATTCTTACAGATAGAGACATGAGAATATTGAAAGACACAAGATAAATGGAAAAGATGAGACAGATGAAGTTACCACTCCCGTAAAAATTAAATTTTATATTTAAAATTTAATAATTAGATGCATAAATTCTTAAAGATAGAGACTGAAGAATATTAAGAGACACGAGATAAATGAAAAAGCTGAGATGAATGGAATTACCGCTCTCGTAAAACTTGAATCTTATATTTAAAATTTAATAATTAGATGCATAAATTTTTAAAGATAGAGATTGAAGAATATTAAGAGACATGAGATAAATGAAAAAGCTGAGATGAATAGAATTACCGCTCTCGTAAAACTTGAATCTTATATTTAAAATTTAATAATTAGATGCATAAATTCTTAAAGATAGAGACTGAAGAATATTAAGAGATACGAGATAAATGAAAAAGCTGAGATGAATAAAATTATCACTCTCGTAAAACTTGAATTTTATATTTAAAATTTAATAATTTGATACATGACAAATAAAATGAACCAATGAATGAAGAGAATTAAAATTCAATCAAAGTTAATTGACCAATAGAATCAAAGAGATTCTGACCAATTAGTGACCTCCTACAAACTTTGTATATATATATTGATAAGAGAGAGCTAAAAATTCAGTGAATTAGTCCCAAAATTCACCGAGTATTACATAATCATAGGGATAAAAATCCCAATAACTTATCAATCATTAAGCACTAAAATCCTAAGAAAGTTTGGGACCATATCAAAGGAAACAAGTTAATGCCTATAATTAAGGCTTTCTTTTGCACAGGGTTATTAGTTGTGTTTCAACTTTTCAATGATGGTGGGTTTCATCAATTAACTTTGGAGATTTTAGTAATTCCTAAAGGAGAATAAAATTTGTCATTCCATCAAAGGACATACGATTAGGAGGTAAAAAAAGCTATTAAGAAAATAACAAATGATAGAATCAATGGATCTGATTATATTCCTATTAAAATATGAAAATATTCGGGTGAAGAATATGTGTAATGGTTAACTAAGTTATTTAATGAAATCTTATAGTCAAATAAAATGCCTATCGATTAGGAGAAACACCTTAGTCTCTATTTACAAAAGTAAAAGGGATATTTAAAATTATGTTAATTACAGAGGAATTAAACTTATGAGTTGTACGATGAAATTGTAAGAAAGAGTAATTGAGCATATGTTGAAATTGAAAATTGGTATTTTTTAGAATCAGTTTGGCTTAATGTTAGGTAAGGCGACTATAGCAATTTATTTACTAAAAAAATTAATGAAAAAGTATCGATGTAAAGGTAAATATTTACATATAATTTTTATTGATTTAAAAAAATCTATGATTGTGTACCAAGAAAAGTACTTTTAAAAGCATTGGAAAAGAAGGGCGTCGGGGTTGCCTATATTTGAGCTATACAAAATATTTATGAGAGGGCAACAACTAATATAAAAACATTTGGCGCAAAACAAAAGACTTTCATATAAATATTGAACTATATCAAGAATTATCTTTGAGTCTTTATTTGTTTGACTTAGTCTTCGATGTTTTGACTAAGCATATTTAAGAAGAAATCTTAAATGCATATTTTTTACGGATGATATTGTTTTTATTGCGAAAACAAGAGAAGAGATTAACTGTAAACTTAAATTATGGAGGAAGACATTGGAATCAAAAGGTTTTTACCTGAGTAAGAATAAGAAATAATAACTACATTATAATTTTAATAAAAGGTTAGCGAATAGTAATTTGAAAGTAAAATTGAATAATTAGATTATATCTCAAGTGAAAAAGTTTAGATATTTGAGAAGGATTATTCCACATAATAGGAAAATTGATGGAGATGTTGCACATAAGGTACAAGGTGGGTAGTTTAATTGAAAAAAAGTTAAATAAGTTATTTGCTAACTTAAGATACCTGATAAACTTAAAAAGAAATTTTATCAAACTACTATAAGACCAATAATATTATATGATATTAAATGTTAGGTTTTAATGATACAGCAATAGCATAAAGTTAGAATGAAAGAGATGAAAATGTTGAGATTGATGTGTAGACATATATGTAAAGACAAAATTCAAAATGAGCATATATGAGAAAAAGTGGACGTTGCACCTATTGAAGAAAAAATGATAGAAAATCATTTGAAATGATTTGGACATATACAAAAAAGATCACAAGAGGCACTGATGAGAAAAGAAATAGATAACTTTGAGTCTTGTCAAGAGAAGTAGAGGAGGACAAAAAAGAACATTTTTAAAGTTATTGATCAATATCTCTTAATTCATAATATTTCTAAAAGCTTAATAAATGATAGAGTATAATTGTATCATATAATTCATATAGCTGATCCCATCTAGTGGGATAAGACTACTTGTTGTTGTTGTTAAGTATTAGTTATATGCATTAATTTTTTGAATAATTTAAATAATTTTTAGATAATATTTATATTTAAAGAAGAATATTTTAATCTAACATATGTGATTTAAAAATACTAATGGATGGATGGAAATAAAATATTAAAAATAGAGAGAATATATATGTTTTATAACTATTGGGAGATTTATGTTGGTTTCTAAAATTAAAAAAATGTAATTAAGGTAAAATATAGGAGGGGCAGGATATTTGACTCTAACTTAAACCTATAGATTAATTTATACCGAACGAGCACTATTGATCGAGTGCGGCCTTATTTGACGGGGCGTAATGTCGAGTTCAGTCCAGGCCCAGTAAGTAGGCGATCCAACCGAGCGAACGAAATAATTTTTACAATATTAAAAAAAATGAAAAAGAAAGTCTTGTCAGCATTGTGAGTGAATTGGCAGGAATACGACATGTGATTACGCAAACGAACCATTCAAATGGAAATGACGAGTTTATTAAATGAAAAGTGGAAATAAGTCGAGAATGAAACTGAAAAGCACAAGAATCATCAGCCACAGCATCAGTATACAAAAATAACCCACACAGTCCACAGAGGATTATATTGTAGTGTATATAAATTGTCTGGTCGGCATCCTCGCCTCCAATGAAAACCTCACTGTACGGCCGCTACTAGTTTTTGAGTTTCCCCTGATTCACTTAATCCCGCTGACCCACGACAACGCACGCTTACATTAGTTACATATTATATATATATATATATATATATATAATAGTGTTATGTACACAGTTAGCTTCAACTACAATTATTACAATTTACAAGTCCCATTTCATTTAGCTTCTCCATTTCGTCATCCGTGTTTTCGAATAAGCGTTTGACTTTCTCTTCCAATCATAACAAGTGTAGTATTATTATTACTACCATCGCTATTATTATTATTATTTATTTTCTTTATGCCAGAAGTGTGATGTGCGCAGAAGGGAATAAAAGTGGGTGAGTGATTGAAGACATAGATTTGAGATCCGCGGAGTTAAGAAGCTCATGATCATTGCTAGCTAAACCTGTCTTGATTTCGGTAGAAAAAACTAAAAATCGTGACAAAAACATTATTTAATAAATCATAAATCTTGCAATCCAGTCAATACTCGCGTGCTCTGATGCATAGAAACAGAATCTATTGTCTTGCAGTTGCAGTGTGAATGAACAAAAAGAAGCATGGATTTTAGAAGACTGTAAGGCCAATCTCTTGTTATCGTCGCCTTCTTCAAACTGTTTTCTTCCGATCATTTGCCGTCAAAGAATTCACTGCGACTGCTACGCGAGTGGTGACTTGCCATGATGATGGCCTAGAGCAGCGTAACAGATCGTTTGTATTACTACTGGCCCTTCATGGGAGCTTTCAATCGATTTCAACGTTGCTCGATTTGGATTCCATTTATAAAATATTTGATCGCTCGAAGGGACAAGGACCTTTTGTTTCCCTTTTTTGAGTGAAGAGAATATCATTACACCAATAGAATTACAAGGAGGGAGGAGCAGCACTTTGTCACGGATGATATCTCTGTGATCATGTAAAGACCAATATAATGAACGATCCGCTGATTAGCCTCGTACAATATAGGTAAAGGGGGCGACATTGGCATTGGGTACGTTCTACCTCAGTCTTCGAGCTGAGTGCACAACTGGTCAGGGGCTAGTGCCGCCTCCCTGATGAGCCCATGGCAAGGCGAAACCAGTGTTATTCGTATGTGGTAAGGCTTGTCCTGAGGATTATGAGATCCTCGGGACGCCGCACGGGCGCCGTATGCTGCGCCAGACTCTCAGCTCATGACAGAGTGGTATCAGAGCGGGACGTACTTTACTGCCGTGTGCCTGTGGGGTCCCACGTTGGGACTGGTCGATCTCGGCACCGCTCCAGAAAGGCCTCCGAGTAGGTGGGTCCAAAATAGGGACTCGGACGGGAAGGTTGGCCGTTGTTGACTCCACTCCTGTTGGCTCGCGGGTGTGAGTGGGTCCGAAGAATGCAGGACTCGGGTGGCCATTCAACAGTAAGCTGATGTGTTTATGGTAATACTGTATGTACGATCCTTGGGCGGAGTCTTTCTCCCCTAGCACGAGGGCATGCTAGATTGGGTGTGGGAGAATGTCACGGATGATATCTCCGTGATTGTGTAAAGACCAATATAATGAACGATCCGCTGGTTAGCCTCGCACAATATGGGTAAAGGGGGCGACATTGGCATTGGGTACGTTCTACCTCAGTCTTCGGGCTGAGTGCATAACTAATCGGGGGCTCGTGCCGCCTCCCTGATGAGCCCATGGCAGGGCGAAAACAGTGTGATTCGTATGTGGTAAGGCTTGTCTTGAGGATTATGGGGTCCTCAGAATGCCGCATGAGTGCCATGTGTTGTGTCAGACTCTTAGCCCGTGACAACTTGCTTGAAAACAATACCAGGCTGCATAATCAGCTTTGTGAAAAACATGGGGAAGATTAAAAAAAATATAATCCACGATGGAAGCATTAAGATCATCCAGCTCATTTTTAAAAGCAACCCCGACTTGCCCCTCCTCCTGCTATAATCAATTCATCTCCTTAAGTTCTAATGGCCTCCGGCGGCCACATCAACGGCACTGCCGTTTCCCGCTTACCCAAAAAGCTCAAACTCTCTTCTCCTTCTTCTTCGCCTTTCATCACTCGCTCCGAAATCGAATCCGAGTTCTCTCACCACGACCCTGCCGTCGCTCGCCTTAACAACGGTGCCTTCGGGTGCTGCCCCGCTTCTGTTATCTCCGCTCAGCAAGAATGGAATCTCAAGTATCTCAGTCAACCCGACGATTTCTACTTGAACCACCTCCAGAAGGGGATTCTTCAATCCAGAACCATTATCAAAGAGCTCGTTCACGCGGAACTACTTGACGAGATTTCCATCGTCGATAACGCCACAACGGCTGCTGCTATTGTTCTTCAGCAGGTCGCTTGGGCTTTTCACGAAGGCAAATTCCACAGAGGAGATGTCGCCATTATGCTCCATTACACTTATGGAGCTGTCAAGAAGTCAATAGAGGCCTATGTCGTACGTTCTGGAGGTGAAGTCATCGAACTTGCCTTCCCTTTCCTGTGAGCTCCGATCAGGAGATTATAAGCGAATTTAGGAGGGCGTTGGAAAGAGGAAAGGCTGATGGCAAGAGGGTTAGATTAGCTGTGATCGATCACGTCACTTCAATGCCCAGCGTGGTGATTCCGGTGAAGGAACTGGTTAAGATTTGCAGGGAAGAAAATGTTGAACAAGTTTTCGTGGATGCAGCCCATGCTATTGGGTGTACGGATGTTGATATGAAGGAGATCGGTGCAGACTTCTACACCAGCAATTTGCATAAGTGGTTCTTCTGCCCTCCTTCCATTGCTTTCTTGTATTGTCGCAGGTCACCCAAGTCCTCTGATTTGCACCATCCTGTGGTGTCTCATGAGTATGGCAAGGGGCTGGCCGTAGAATGTTCTTGGATTGGCACGAGGGATTATAGTCCCCAGCTGGTTGCTCCTGCAGTTTTGAGGTTTGTGGACAGATTCGAAGGTGGTATTGAAGGGATTAAGAAGAGGAATCATGATGCTGTCGTAGAGATGGGAGAGATGTTGGCTCAAGCTTGGGGGACTCATCTAGGTACCCCTCCACAAATGTGTGCCAGCATGATCATGGTAGGCCTGCCTGCTTCTCTGGGGATTACTTGTGATTCTGATGCTATCAAGTTAAGGACTCATTTGAGGGGCAATCTTGGGATTGAAGTCCCAATATATTTCAGGACTCCAGAAGATGGAGAGGTTGGCTCTGTGACTGGATATGCTCGAATTTCTCACCAAGTCTATAACAAGGTTGATGATTATTACAAGTTCAGGGACGCAATCAATCAACTCGTACGCGATGGCCTGGATTGTGCGCTTCTGTCTGATTGAATATGGCCTCGCAGCTCTAAACTTTCCTCAAGGTAGATAGATACCTTCTCGTTTTTATTTTCTGAAAGTCTTGATGGATTCAGGGCATTTGAAATTAACAGACACTGTAGGATCAGATGTTTCCCCTGCTGCTGGTCTGATGAAAGAGCAACTTTCTCCCGCGTGGGCTTGGCTTTCATTAGCGAACTGTATAGTTAACGATCAAATCAGTATGTAAAAATGAGCAGTTTGGTAAATTCTCTCAAAGCTACTCAATTCCGTGCCACGTTTGAACTATAACCCGACTACAGCAGCAGGGTGTTACGGTTATTTCAAAAATTATTTTCTAGTTGTTCTTGCTAGAACCACGATTGAGAGCGATCTTTTGTTTGTCTGCAGAGTACATACAGTTGAATGTAAATAATAAAAGCAAGGAATCTATGGTTGCTTGCAAGATTGGCTAGTGATGACGATGGTTTTGATAGCATGGACTGTATGTGTCGTTGATAAATCAAAATGTTGGGACCCTTGGAATTATGGTTGAAAGAATTATTGTGATTCTCTGACCAATCCATGCTCCCAAACCTGCCGAGTTTCATGCTCGAGTTCTTGCGGGACCATATGATTAATTGCTGTTGTATTGCTTTCCCGTGAATGTGAATTCAATTTCAACGCAAGACCGCGACGATATATCCTTCAGTTGCCGATGCTGAGTCGCTTGAGCACTCCATATCGGACGTTGGAGCTGCGTTGTGCTTTCGTAACCCTCCGGGGATTTTGAAAATTCATAATTAAAATAAATATTATAAAATACGAAGTATAAAAATACAACTGAGAAAATTCGGTGAGCATTACGCAAAGGTATAACAAATGATAGTGAAATACGATTTTTTAGTGTAGTGTAATCTGATTATAGCATGAGGAATATCCTGAAAATGATTCCGGTAGTTAAAAATTATTAACTTATAAATGATCATAATTTTGATGGAGGAGGAGAGAAAGAAAGAGCACCGCCAGTCCGCCACATGATTCCAGAAAGGACCACCCATGTCCGACGGTGATGACCACAAAAGCCGCAGCTACGAGCAAACCGAAAAAACGTAACAATAGGGAGGTTTTACCTTTTACCTGATTGCTATCCACTCATTGGTTGTATTTTTTATGACTGCGTGTCCCGTCTGTTTTTGTTTAAAAAAAAGGATGCATTAAAAAATTAATATAAAAATAAATAAATTATTCTTTCTTCTTATGATAAGTATGATAAAATTCATTAGTATATATTATAGATATAAAAATTATTATGTCCTTCAAAAATTTTATGAATCATGATAATGAATTTCATAAATTAAATTACGTCATTCTTTATGAAGCTTGTTATTTCTTTTTACAATCTTATTTTTATTTTTATTTTTTTTAATTCATTTCATTTTATTTTCTTTCTAATAATCAAATGGCATCGATATTATTTATAAACATATTTTGGTGGCTAGAAATTGGTACACTAGTGTATTGTTAGACAGAAAATTTAACATATTTTAGTTTTTGTATGTTTCATTTAGACCTTGATTTATTGTTACGTGTTGTTTCTTTTTTGTGCAGGGGTAGCGCCCCCTCTTAGCTAATATCAGTTTTAAACTTTTCTTTAAAAATGATATTAATGAAGAAAATCAAATTTATAATCATAAAATTAATTGTATAATATGATTAAAATTAATCAACTTTATAATATTAAAAAAAGTTTAAATGCTGATTTATTTATTTTACTATAACTACAATCACCTCCTTTAATTCTAAAAATTTAACAAACTCTTTATAAAATTACAAGTGCTGTTACACGGATCCCTTCTTTATTTTTTCCCCCATTTATCTCTTCTTCAACTCCACTAGAACATTTTTTTAATATATTACCTGTTTTTAACGTAAAGTATTATTTAAAATTTATTTAAAATTTATCGTTGTTGTGTGTATGTGAGACTAAGAGTGCTTGGATTCGAACTTGTGGCTTGCCTTGCGACAACAGAGCACTTTCACCGTCAAGCCACAGAGTGGCATTTTTAAAAATGTATCAGACATTTAAATTAGGTCAGGAAAAAGGGAGAATGATTACAATAAAAAATAATAATAAATTGATCAAGTAAAATCATTATATATATAAAAGTAGGGTTGAAAGTTACAAGAAAATATCATGTATTTATTTTTAAGTTTACTATAATCCTGTGTTTCAAAATGTCTTTCATATAATTCTATGCTTCGAACTTAAGTTTGGGGTTATGTTCAAGATTATTTATTATTTTTAATATATATAAATATATTATTTAAGTTTGAAGTTAGATGCGGGATGAATTATTAATTTTTAAATGTATATAAAAATTATTTTTTGACCTATTTAAAATTCAAATATGATCATATTTGAATTCAAATTATTATATATCTATTTAAAGTTTTCACCCACCATAATGATATGCAAAAATATAAATTCATATAATTGAGTGTACACACACATATAAGTATCCCGAAATTTTTTGAATCTAGGTTCTTTTTATATATATAGTAAAGAATTCTCATTATTTCTGAAAATTTTAACCTATTCAAAAGATGTTTGGAAAATTAAGCTTTATAAATGGATTGGTTAGAAAAAAAGATTTTACATCTAAAAAGGATTATTATTTTTTATATTTATTTAAATTCCAAAATTATATAGTTAATTATGCAAAGATTACAGTTTATATATCAATGATATCATAAATTTAAATAAGAAGTTATTGATCTATCCGTGTGATGTTTGAAAATTTTGATCATATTATAAAGTAATACATCTATATATTCAAAATTCAAAATGATGTTTAGTTAAAAAAAATAGATATTTTTATATATAAAATAATATATATGTAAAATAAATGAGTGATTACTGGTGGTATATGTTTTATTTTCTTTTAACTATATTTACCATTCAAAATTCAAGTCAAATCATATGAAAAGGATTAATCAAATTATTTTCTATATTCATACAATAATAAAATTATATTTTTCTATATTTTGATAGGTCCAGTTTGAAGAATAAAATTATAATACACACACTTATAGAGTAAATAAGAGGTTACTTATTTACCATATTTTCTTTTATTTGAAATTCAAAATAATATTTTTTATATTAAGATTATAAATTGATTACTTGATTTTCAATTTCAATTTCAATTTATACGTATACATATATACATATATATATTAATGATCCCCCTTGCTTCAATTGTTAATGATCCCCCTTAAGTAATCAATTATTTTATTTGGATTTTAATGATCCCTGTTGATTGAAATTTTAAAATTTAAAATTTCCTCCAACACCAGCTCAGGTATTAATTATAAATATAGTGGATCGGATAGATATTCATTCATCAATTTTGATTTTGGTTTTTATATTTTATCCATTTTTGATACCATTGTATATTTAGATGTATTATCATTCTTTTTTGTCTCTTAATTAATTTATATGAGCATTAATTATTTTTTATTTTGTTAGCTTGAGTTGTTTGTTTTGATAATGTTACTTATGCTATCAATCCTAATGTGACCAGCATCTCATGGTTTAAATGATTCATCCTTGAAATATATTTTGAATTAGTTTTAGAAGATATTAACGTAAGTTTTTGTGTCTATTCTCTTCTTTACCATAAAAACAAACATGAAAGCTTCTAAGCGACGAAGCACCATCCACAACAACCGTCGCATCATAGTCCATCTTATCTTATTCTTCTCTCTGGCTTGAAGGTATCTAAACATTTCCTTGGCGTGAGCAATAATTGACTCAACATATAGATGAAGACTTATTATTAAAAATACGTTCACTTCTCCTTTTCCACAACAGCCAACAAATAACAACAAAAAACTCTTTCCATTTCTTTTCATTTCTCCTAACGTCATTCTTTAGATTTCACTCACACCAAGCCTTCAAAGGAAATAAAAAAATTAATTAATTTTAACTGTAAAAGGATACTAGATCGTACCTTTTCAATGTAACATTACCTAATTAATTGCAAATAAAATCAAGAAAAATATTATAAATTAAAAAATATTTAGTTATTTTGAATTCATAATTAATCAATCGCATAAATGTTAATCCCTTATTTTGTTTAGTTTCTGCTTCTTTTAGTTTTTCTTTTGCAAAAAAAAAAAAATAAAGGAGAGATTTTCATGTTATCAAACAATTATAGTTTCTTATATTTAATAATATTTTATATTTTTTTATCATACCCATTATATAGCGTTTTATTTGGGATAATAAGAACAGAAAAAACTGTTTTTGGGGTGCAATTCTATAATTCCTATCAAATTTTTTTAAAAAAAATTTCCAGTTAAATTTTGAATATATGCTAAATTATAACCAATTCATTATTTCAAATTATATTAAAAAAATTTAGTAATTAAAAATACATTTCAATCAAAAAAATTTAATATTAATATAAAGATCAATGATAAATATTTCAATAATTTCTAACTTAATTATAATATAAATATAAATAGTTTTAATAATATTTTAAATGTATTGTAATTCTCAAATAATATAGACAATAATATCAATATTATCCGTGTACAAGTTAAACAATTTATTCTTCAGATATTGAACCTTCGTCTTCCATCATGTTACTGGAGGAAATGAATGATATTTAAGAGTTAGTTAATAAGGATATAATGTAAATTAATAAATTAATGAAAAATTCTAAAAATAAAAAATAAAAAATAAAAAATTATAAAAAAATTAGGATATATTTGATTCAAACATATTTTAAAATAAATATTTTTTGACCCGTGCGTCACTTAATTATGTACTTTAAGATGTCTTTTTTTGTAATTTTATGCTTCATTAGGTAGGTTTAGTTGTTAATTTGTGAGTACATTTTTATTATTTTTTAATTATTATATATATAAACTAAAAAAGTGATTAATGTATAATATAATTTAATCTTTTAGATTCAAATTCACTTAATTGAATATTGTTATAAGCCCCTAATACAACATAATATGCTATCAACTTATTTTACATAATTATGAAATATTGTGATTTGAATTGTAAATATTTAAATTTGGATGAAGTTTTAATAAGATCTAATATGTATAATTATTTATGCTAAATATAATCAAATTTTAATATGTATGCATGCTACTTTCAATTTAAAATTGGTAGTTTATTAACTCCAAAACGGCATAATCAAAATAAAATACTTTGAAATTTTTTAATCAATCATATAATCTCCAACTCAATTTAAAAATGATCAAAAGTTAAATTTTGATCTTATCATCTTTTAATCTATCCCAATAAACCTTGAATGTTTCAAATTAAAAATACAATTATTTAAACAGAAAATATAAATAACATCAGTTAATTAAATAATATAAATAAATAATTGAAATTTAAATATCGAGACAAAATTCATAGTGTTGTTATTAACTCAAATACCAACCCGAATTTATTTTATATCATTAATCTACAATATAAAAATTATATTTTTAATAATTAAGAAATAATATATTAGTTTAAATGTTCACTCAAAAATAACAACATCGAAAAAAGGTGTGAGATTAGATAATTCTAATCTAATGTCATATATCTAATATATATATATATATATATATAATGTGTAGTTGTATACTATATTACATAGAAGTAAAAAAGCATATATTTTTTATATATCAATTTGATTTTATACTTTATGCTTTTTATATTTCACTTATATAATTTTTCAATATTCTTCAATTTTTATTTTTTCTTTTTTTCTCAACACATGTCAGCATAACGTTTTTAATAAAAATCTGTGAGCCTCGCCTAATTAGTCACAAATTTTTCATCTAGCACATATAGATTGAAATACTTTCTCTATTTTAAATTATAAGACAATTTGAGATAAGATTATATATATAAATAAAACACAATAATAACACTTTATAGACTTATTTTTTAAAATAAAATTATAATCTTTTAAAAATACCCTGCACACTTAATTATTATGCCACAATATCATTTTAATTTTTTTTTGCCTAAAAGATAATATTAGAAAAATATAATTAATGAAACCTTATTTTTTTCAAATTGTCTTATATTTAGAAACAAAAAATTCCTCCAGCTTTATTTATAATTTGGAATAGATGAAGCATGTGATTTATTTAAACTAAAGTTGTTAATACTTAAGCTAAAGTTGTTATTATAAGATAAGGCTCCAATAGCATAAAAGTTTTATTTTAAAGCTTTTGACAAATGTTTAAAGGATATTCTAAAGTTAAAAGCTTTTGTGTTTCGTAGAGACTTTAGTCAAACATATCCTGTTATTCCAAATAGGTTGAAAGAAGACATTGTTTTCGCTATCATTAAATCTTCATACATTTGGGATAATGGTCAACTTTTACACTGACAGAAACATGAGTTTCTAGCAACAAATACTAGAGCATTCATTAGTGTTCCTCAAGATTTTGTTAATTATATTATCTTAATTGAAGATAGGACTACTGTTGGAGTTAGCGAAAAATCTGTGGATATTAGGATCCCAACTGATTTGTTATTGGATAGTTCAGAAAAATCAATAAAATCCATTGTTGATTCACCTTTTTCACATTTCCTTACCAATATCTATACTTTTTCATATTGTAGATATATGGCTATATTAGCTTTTACATTAGTTATGATTCAATAAATAAATAGGTACATATTGTCTCTACTCCTTAAAGAGAGAGTTATATACTTAAGCTTTAATAGTGTTGTAGAAGATGATAAGGATATGAATTCACTCGATGACCTTCACTCTACAGATTTTTTAAATTCAATTATAACATCAAACCTTTTGAATTATAAAATAAGGCTTAAAGTGGGTGCCCTAATTATTTTTAATGTGAAACATTAATAAGTTTATGGGATTATGCAATGGCACGTGTTTTATAGTTACACGAACTGAAAAACATGTTTTTAAAACTTAAGAAATGTTTGGATCAATTGCAAGGACAATATATATATATATATATATATATATATCATGTATTATTATATGTCTATTTGATTCCAAGCTACTATTTACCACAACAAAGAGGCAATTTTCCATTATGTCAGCTTTTATAATGACCATTGATGAGAGCCAAGGCCAGAGCCTGTGTCATGAGGGTTTGTACTTATCTTGTTGTATTTTCACCCACAGCCAATTATGTGTTATTGTTTCTCGTATTTGAAGTAGGGAGGGTTTAAACATATTAGTTCATGATGAGAATGGTCACTTCATGTATATAACTTCTAATGTTGTTTATAAGAAAGTCTTTGATAATTTGATATAATTAATTATAATTTTTTGTTAATTTGCTTTCCACCGTATCCATTTACATCGTATGCATTTAGTTTTTATCATTTTCTTAACTTTAATATGCATGTTTAATACATGTTTAATATTAAATATGATAATTAATTAGCCCTACTATGTATGAGATGACATGAAGAATATGTCTATTATAGGTTATTCTTTTGAGAGGAATCTTTCTATAAGATTAAATTTATTTATAAAAACTATAGTATAAGATCCATACATCGCATGGATAATTTACTAGTATGATAATAACATTAAGGATTCAAGGTATTTCTTTAAAATTAAATTTTGATGTGAAATTATTTTAATATCTTTTTGTAATTTAGAAATTTATGATTTTTTTAAATCATTTTAGATATTTATAGAATCAAATTTATAAATATTTATATTAAATTTGTAAACAATATAAAATTAATTGGTTTTTAATAATAAAAAGCTGTAATTTTTTAAATTATTTTAGTTGTTGATGAAAATAAACTTGCAAATACTTACCTTAAATTTATAAATTATATAAAATTAGTTAGACTTTATTAATTGAAGAAAATTATTGATAAATAATTATAATTTTTTAAATATTTTAATTGCTGATAAAATCAAGTTTATAAATATTTATATCAAGTTGTGAACAAAACCATATAAAATTAATTGCTTAAAACCTTACTGTAATTATAATATTTTACAATATTAAATTATCTTTTTTTTTTGTTTTGGAGGATTTTACATATCGTTCTCCAAAGTTGGTAAAAAAGAAAAAGCATCATTCTCCCAAAAAAAAAAAAAAAAACTTGTTTAAAAATAGACCGTCTATGTTGGGGGATATGTATGTCATGGCCACCGACGAGGGATCGGAGAAGCATGTGGCTTTGTTTTGGGGAACGGACGGAGGCATACTTCAACGTGGAGCGGCACTTGAATTACCCACCCAACTATTGTTTCCATCTGCACTTGCCTCTCCAATCCTATATCTTTAAATGTGACAATCCTCCATCGACGGGTACATTTTCTGTCTCTCTCTCCGATAGCTTGGGGATTGCAAACATCGCTCCTTTCTGATACACAATTAGGTGAACACTCTGTGCCTTCGATTAGTTTGATTGCATTTTCGTCTATTTTAGGGTTTTCTCATTGCGGCCTATCCCACTCGTTCTTGCCGATCACGCCCCTTTCTTTTGAACGGGGGAAAATTGGAAAACTTCGTCAGAACTTTTGTTGGGGTGCTTGATTTTGATTACATGAGCGGTATGTGTATTGTTCTCAATTTTATGATTTGGAGACGGGTTTCTTGCTTTTTGTTCTTTGTCTGATTCGGAATCAGCTGCTCTGAGCCATATGGTATCTCAGTTTTCTGTTCTATTTGCGATATCTATTCCGGTCAAGACCGGCTGAGCGTGCATATGATGAACTAGATGAAATTCGCTGTGAACTACTGTTTCCCTATTATTACTAAGAAGGTCGAGTACTCAATCTCAATCTTCATTTTCTTTTTGTAAATTTTTATCCGGTGGGATTATTTCGATGAAAAATGCTCTTATCAAGTACGAATTTTTCTCTTGCAAGTAGCCAATCTATTTTTCTGAGGTATGATTTATGTTGAAAATCTTTAAGAAGACATTGACTCGTTATCTGTAATTCTTTTTGTCGTAAACTCTTGACAATCATGAAAGTATTTTTCAAAACGGAGATGGGAGATTTTTCCCTCCTGTATGCATATCGCTATATATCAGCAGAGATACAGTGTGCGCCTGTGCTGTAAAATTCCTTGTGAAAAGGTGGGGGAAATAAAATGCGAATCGTACCTTATGACATCTTAAACCTGGAAGAATGAAAATGCAGTATCTTTTCTTTCTTTCTTTTTTTTTTTTGAACAATTCTTGAATCATTCTGGAAGCCTTGAACCATGGGAAATATCTCATTTAAAATTGTCCTATCATTTCCTTGAAGCTACAATTAGTTGCATACAGTGTACATTTTATTTTCTATATCTTCTATGCATGTTACCATCGTCATTGTAACTTGAAATATTATTTCCAATTGGTACACCAATTTAAGCTATTATTTTGTACATTCGCAGGTCATGGCTGGAAAGAAGATAATAGCAATATGTCAGACTGGAGGTGAATTTGAGACTGAGAAAGATGGTTCTTTGTCATATAGAGGTGGTGATGCTCATGCTATTGACATCGATGACCAAATGAAATTTTGTGAGTTTAAGCAGGAAGTAGCAGAAATGTTTAATTTCAGTGCCAATAGCATGTCTATCAAGTATTTTCTTCCCAGGAACCACAAGACTCTCATTACAATCTCTAATGACAAGGATCTTCAACGAATGATTAAATTTCATGGAGATTCAAGTTCCGTTGAGATTTATATCTTCATTGAGGATGTAATTTCCCCTGACATGTCAAACATGCCTGCCAGTAGGTAGTTTTCTTTATTTATAAGCTGTTATCTGATTATTATTTGAGAATTATTTTCTAATTTTAAAATTTTAAATCATGGACACGTAGATCAAGCAGAACAACCTTGTCTGAAACAGTGGTTCCAATTGATGCCCCTCTTGATGCTGTGGGTGGTGTCGTGGATGACACTACCCAGACAGTAATTCCACATGATGGTGCACTTGAAGTTGTTGATGATGCCAATCAAGTGCCCCCATATTTGGCAAATGTCATCTCAAATGACGATAAGCATGCCAAAGGAGCACAGCAGTGGCAGAATGCCATCACTGGTGTAGGTCAAAGATTTGGCAGTGTTCATGAATTTCGGGAATCATTACGTAAATATGCCATTGCTCATCAATTTGCCTTTAGGTATAAGAAAAATGATAGTCATCGCGTGACTGTTAAATGCAAAGCAGAAGGTTGCCCATGGAGAATTCATGCATCAAGGTTGTCAACTACTCAATTGATATGCATCAAGAAAATGAATCCAGCTCATATTTGTGACGGTGCTGTTGCAACAACAGGGCATCAAGCAACTAGGAGTTGGGTGGCTAGTATTATAAAGGAGAAGTTGAAAGTTTGTCCAAATTATAAGCCCAAGGATATTGTCAGTGATATCAAACAGGAATATGGTATACAACTTAACTATTTTCAGGCATGGCGTGGAAAAGAGATTGCAAAGGAGCAGCTTCAGGGTTCCTATAAAGAGGCATATAGTCTGTTGCCCTTTTTCTTTGAGAAGATAATGGAGGCTAATCCTGGAAGTTTGGCTACTTACGCCACAAAGGAAGACTCAAGCTTTCATCGTTTGTTTGTATCATTTCATGCTTCATTGTATGGCTTCCAGCAAGGTTGCCGGCCATTGATTTTCCTTGACAGCATCTCTTTGAAGTCAAAATACCAGGGAACATTATTAGTTGGAACTGCTGCAGATGCTGATGATGATGTATTTCCTCTTGCTTTTGCTATTGTTGACACTGAATCTGATGATAACTGGCATTGGTTCTTGCTTCAACTCAAATCTGTGCTATCAACATCCTGTCCAATAACATTTGTGGCAGACAGAGGGAAAGGGCTGAAAAATTCAATTGCTGAGATATTTTCTGGTTCATTTCATGGATATTGCCTACGGTATTTGACTGAGCAACTCTTTAGAGATTTGAAAGGGCCATTTTCTCATGAGGTAAAGAGACTCATGATGGAGGATTTATACACTGCTGCCTGTGCATCCAAACCAGAGGGCTTCCAAAATTGTATCGAGAGCATCAAAACTATTTCAGTAGAAGCTTATAATTGGATCATACAGAGTGAACCTCAACATTGGGCAAATTCATATTTTCAAGGTGCCAGGTATAATCACATGACATCGAACTTTGGGGAACTATTTTATAGCTGGGCATCAGATGCAGATGATTTGCCTATAACACAAATGGTTGATGTGATAAGGGGCAAGATTATGGAGTTGTTTGTTACAAGAAGGGCAGCTTCTGACCAGTGGTTGACTAGGCTAACTCCTTCCAAGGAGGAAAAGCTTGAAAATGGAAGTCGGCAAGCTCATTCACTTCAAGTTTTGTTGTCAGCTGGTAGCACATGTGAGGTTCGTGGTGACTCTGTTGAGGTGGTTGATATTGATCGGTGGGATTGTAGTTGCAAAGGCTGGCAGATGACTGGTATACCATGCTGCCATGCCATTGCTGTCATCATTGGCATTGGCCGGAGTGTTTATGATTATTGCTCCAGATACTTCACTATTGAAAGCTACAGATTGACTTATTCAGAGTCTTTACATCCTATTCCGAGCATGGATTTTCCAGCCTTAAGAGGCTCAGAACTTATGGTAACTGTCACACCTCCTCCCACCCGACGACCACCAGGTCGACCTACAACAAAGCGATATGGATCACAAGGCATAGTCAAGCGTCAGCTCCAGTGCAGCCGATGCAGGGGACTTGGGCACAACAAGTCCACTTGCAGGGAGCCATTGTAGAGCACTAGACAGTGAGTGGCTGCAGCATTACACCCTAATGACATATGTTTGGTTTTTCTTTTTTTTCTTTTTGCTGAGCCAGTAAATATTCTTTTCACCATTAGTATCTACCTTCTTTTCAGGGTATACAGAACAATTTAGCTTGCTTGAGCTTGATTTTATTATTGACTCTTCAGGGGCTGACTTCTTTCTTGCTATTGTCTATGAGAAATATTAGGATGACCCTCAACCTCAACTAACGCATTCTAGTTTTGGTTATATTGACAAAATTTCAACGGGGAATGGGGGAAATAGGATCTGTGCAAAACACCAGACAACTCTATCGATGGGACTAGAAAGAAAACCCTTTTAGAGATACGCCTTTCTTTTTCTTTTTCCTTTTTCAATTCCCCGTCTTTTGTTTGTTTTGGTTATAACAAAATATGACTTTAGTTATTGATTCTAATGCATAAAATTGTAATTATGTAATGGTGGTTTTGTAGAAATTATAATTCTTTCAGCTCCTCCTGTAAGTGCTAATTTAAATTGATGATGTATTTTCATGCTGTTTATCATAATGAAAATCTTGACCAAGTTAGTGCCCTGTTTAGTTGTTGAATAATGACGTGAAAACGGGGCAGAATTTGCTTACAATCGTTCATGCGACCTAGGCATGGATGTGGGTAATTGTAGGGTTCATGGTGCGAATCGGGGAGATTCCAATGCAGCAATCCAGCAGAGAAAGCGCCCCTTTTAAGGGAGGATGACAAATAAGAACCTCATAGAATTTTTGTTAAGTTAGGATCTCCTAATAATTGAAGTTTTCAAATTTAGTATTCATTATTTCATCTTTTATTACTAAAGTCTTTAAAAAATCTTGATCTGGCATTAATTTTTTCCTGAAATCATTGTCATTCCTCCTTTTTTAAATTCAATTTTTCCATGTTCTTGAAGCCTCGTAGGCCTGATAATTGTGGATATGGGCACATCTTATGATAAAATTTGGGCTCTAAGTAGTTTCGATCTCACATGACCCATAGTTACATGACATTATAGGGTCATGCAAAATTGATGACAAGTTAAAGATATGATGAAGAATATACTCTTTCCAGACCTTGGAGTCACTATGGCTCTCGTGCTCTCGTCACGCAAAAGTTCCTTACTGCTTGAACAACCTCCTTTTAGGGAGGAGTACGATCAATTGAATAAGAGTGCGAAAAGGATTAAAGGGGACAGGAAAGATATTGGAACTTCAAATATGGATGAACAATGGCCAAAGCTGGGTGGTAGTAGCATTAATTTGAATCCTTCTTCACGTAAGATGTCCTTTTGAGATAAACTGAAAGGTACTATGAATAACGAAGGTGATGGAAGGAAACCCTAAGGGGAGTTAATAAATGAGATGGAAGACTCAGACTTGGAACAACCTCAAGATAGGGAGGAAGAGATGGAGCTTGACCGTGAGTTGAAGGAGGATCCTACTAGAAACTTTCCTAAGTTCATCTTCTCCAAAAAGATAAAGAGATGGTTGTATAGAGCTTAGAAGAATTCTGTTATCATTAAACTATTGGGACGTAGCATTGGCTTTAAAGCACTTGAGTCACGATTCAGAACATGTGGGTAAAACATGATGTTTTGAATCTCATTGATATTGATTATGGGTACTATATTGTGAAGATGACAACTAGGTAAGATTATATTTAAGCTCTCACAAGGGGACCTTGGATGATGTTTGACCACGACTTGACCGTTCGTCCATAGGATCCAAAATTTAAACTATAAGATGTAGAGGTTGATTAGGTTGTTGTATGGGTTCGTCTCCCAAGTATTTTTCTTGAATACTATGACAAGATTATGTTATTTCTTATTGGGAATCACATTGAGCAAACTATTAAGATTGATGTTAACATGTTTGGTCATTTAAGGGGTCAGTGTGCTAGAGTCTATATGATGGTGGATTTGGATAAGTTGCTTATGTGAAGAGTATCAACTAGAATATGAGGGCCTTTACTTGCTTTGTTCTAGTTGCAATATGTATGTGCACCACTCGAAGACATGTTCAAGACACATTTAACACTAATCTACTATAGCTAATTCGTTGATGGGTGTAAGGGAGACTGAGGATAACAAAGTTCAACAAAGTTTAACGAGAAACAAACTCAGAATCATGGAAAGTAGTCCAAAAACCACGTCATCCCAAAAAACTATAAACGCCGATGGAAAGGGAACTAAAGAGCAAACAAATGGGTCAAGGCATTATGTCCTGGCTAAGATGGCAGAATGATAAGATGAAGGTGCAAACAATGCAAATGTAGTGTTAGTGGGTGCAGAAAGTGGTACTATGGTGTTTAGTACAGAGGCAATCACAAGAATGAATGGCATAGAGGATAGGTTGAAGAGCACAAAAAGATAGGAAAGGAAAATTGAAAGGGGCCATGAAGGGAGAAAAAACAAAAAGGGGATGTAAAAGGAGGAGCATCATCTTTGGGATTAGAGAGTCCTATAGAGCACTATAAGAATGCCAAAAAGAGATTGGGGAAATGTGTGAGAGAGGAAAAAAGAAGGCCACAGGAGGATTTGATGATGTGTGAGTAGGGCTGCACAAAGCCTTTGTTGTTAATAATGGGCCCATATATCCAAAATAAGGAGATGCTAGATTTATTGGTTACTGATTCTGGTAAGCAAAATCAAGTATCACCTTTAGAGGACCCTAAGGATTTAGTCTCAGCAGGCTTAGACCCATGAGATTTGCACTTTGGGTTTGTGAACCCAAATTTGTCCAATGAGGAGATGAATATGAGTGATAGTATAGCAAGCTCTATAGTCCTTAAAACACCCATGTCCTAACAATGATTATACTGGGTTGAATATGGGCTTGGTGTAAAATTTTTTTTTTATTTTATGGATAGTTTATTATATTGGAATACGAGAAGGGCTTATGGTAAAGACCTTCTTAGAAATTTAAAGTTTCTCATGGATGATAGAAAACCCAGTCTAATTGTACTGGTAGAAACGAGAAACAATGACCCTAATCGATTTACATCACTTTCTTATTTTGGTTTCAATTGTATCAGAATCATTCTTAGTGTAGGGTAATTCAGGGGTTTAGCGTTGGCTTGAAACTCTTTGAAGATCAACGTCTTAGTCGTGGACTTTTGATGTCTATGTGCTGACTTTCCAAAATTTTTGGTTACTGTCGTCTATGCCTTGCCTCGTTCAAATTTTTTAGAGGTATTATGGTCTTTTCTTAACTCTCTTGCCCATACTATTTCTTCTCCATGGCTGGTTTTTAAGGATTTTAATGACATCGTAAAAGAGACGGAGAGAATTGGTGGCATGAGGGGTAATCCTTCGAGGCAGAGGTGGTTTTAGTCTCAAATAAAGGATTGCAGCTTAATTGATCTTGTTTGGGTTCGGCCTAAATTCACTTGGAAAGGACCATGTTTATAAGGAAAAGCATGGCTATTTGAAAGACTAGATAGGGGTTTGGCAAACTTTGATTTTGTGTGAATTACAATAATTGCGTTGCTAAGATGCTGCCTCGCACAAATTTTCTAATCATAACCCACTCTTAATAGTGCTAAATAATGATAAAAGTACTGTTAGAGGAACAAAGCCTTTTTGTTTTGAAGTTATGTGGATCGAAATGAAGGATTTGGGGATATTATCAAATCTAATTAGTAAAAAAAATGAAGATTTAGAATGGAATATGGGTGCTTTCATAGAATTATTATGTGTTTGGAATAAGAATGTGTCCAGGATTGTTGAAAGAAACAAGAAGAAAATCCTAGCAAGACTTAATAGTATTCAAAAGGCCTTAAGTTACCCCTACTCTACTTATCTTCATGAGTTGGAGATTGAACTTGAGGAGGAATTGGAGACTATTCTACGATAGGAAGAAATTAAATGGTTCTAGAAATAGAGGGAATCGAAACACACGATGCTACCATTTAATGATTTGAAGACTAAGAGGCATAGAAGATTTAACAAAGTGACCTATTTAAAAGATGATAACAATTGCTGGGTTGAAGAACCTAAATTGTTGTAAAAATTGGTTAACGATTATTTCATTAAATTATATAGTGACAAAGGTCATGGTAGCCTTATACTGGAGGTGACTTGTATTTTTCCAAAAATTGATAAGATTATGGAAAATGATTTTGGAAGAGTTCTAACTGATGAGGAAATAAAGTCTGCTTTGTTCACAATGAGACTGTATAAAGCACTAGGGGTAGATGGATTTCAACCTTTCTTTTTCCAATCATAGTGGAAGGTTGTAGGCCACTAGATACGTAGTTTTGTGAAGGATGTGTTCCAAAGGAAAGTGTCTCTTGATTCTGCAAATAAGACGCTAATTTCACTTATTCCAACACATGACAATCTTAAGCTTATTTTGCACTTTTGCTCAATTTCTCTCTACATTGTTCATTATAAGTATGTGGCGAAAGTGTTGATGAACAGACTAAAGGGGTTCATGGATAAGATTATATCTTCATTTTAGTCAAGCTTAATACCTGAAAGACATGTTTGACAACTTTATTATGGGCCAGGAAAGGTTGCGTATCATGAACAAAGTGAAACGTCATAAAGGATTCGTTGTTATGAAAGTAGATCTTGAGAAAGCATATAACAAAATAAGTTGGCCCTTCCTCTATCAAGTATTAATTGATGCCAGGTTTGATTCTCAATTCTGTAACTTAATTATGCATTGTGTCTCTTCAATTTCCTTTAATGTGTTGTGCAATGGTTACAAACATGAGTTTTTTAAACCTCAAAGGGTCTCCAACAAGGAGATCATTTATCCCTTTACTCATTTGTTCTATGTATGGATAGGCTCTCCTATATTATATGTGATATTGTACAGGAGTGAGAGTGGAAACCTATTTATGCTAGTAATGAGGGTTCGGGCATTTTGCATTTAATGTTTGCAGATGATTTACTATTGTTTGGAGAAGCTTATGAAAACCAAGTATGGAGAAGCTTATGAAAATCAAGTAGATTGTATGATGCAATGCCTTAAAGACTTTTGTGATACATTAGGGTAGAAAGTGAATAAGCAAGAATCTTCAATTTTCTTCTCCAAAAATGTGAAGTGAGAGACTCGCCAACAATTGCAAGCAAGAACTGGAATGACTATTTTTGGTGATATCGATACATGCTTGGGGATCCATCTTTCACGTACTAGGAGGCCACATCAGAGGTTTTAGTATATTATTGATAAAGTAAAGTCTAAACTTGCAAGCTGGAAGGTAAATTGCCTATCCTTTATAGGAAGAATTACATTAGCTAAGTCTGCTATCTACCATTCCCATTTATCCTATGCATGTAGTTAAAATTCCTATAACTATTTGCAATGAGGTAGAAAAGATTCAAAGAAGATTTATTTGGGGAAGTGATGAGAATAGGAAAAGAATGCATTATATAAGATGGGATAAGCTTTGTTGGCCAAAAGAAGAGGGTGGCTTAGGATTCTGAAAACTCGAAGCGATGAATAGGGCTTGTGGTACAAAATTAGCTTAAAATTTGGCATTTAGAAATAAAGGTTTATAACTGGAAGTTTTGACTAATAGGTATCTTAAGGGACGAAATGGTGTTGATTGGGAAGCTAAAGCATTTGATTCTTCATTGTGGCATTTTATTGTCCAAAAACTTCTTGTTGATTTACGCACCGGTTGGAAAATTAAGAGATGGTCAATGAGTGAAGCTTTTCACTGATTGTTAATTGAGTGAGGACCTTATAATTGCTCATATAAGTTTATCAAATCTTAATAAGGTAGAGAAGAACTCTACAGTGGCAAGTTGAGCACATCATGGACAATGGAATCTTGAACAAATGCAAGGGATTGTTCCCAATGAGGTAATTCAAAGAATCATTACACAGCTACCCCTTACCCCTATATATAGTACTGATAGGATGATTTGGAGTTCAAACTCGAGTGGTATGTTTTCAATTAAAAGTGCTTATTATCTAATTGAGAACCATAGTGATTCTCCCTTTAATAAGATTTTTAAAAATATATGGAAATGGGGGGTATGGAGAGAATTAGAGTATTTTTATGGCCTGCAATTCATGATAGACTTCCTACTAATGTGAGAAGGAATAAATGGAGTGGTTGCCCCTCACTTTGTAGTTAGTGTAATACACAGGAGGAAAGCCTCATTCATGTACTCCGTGATTGTCATATGTGAAAGATTTATGGATTTGTATTATCGAATCAAGTGTTGTTGTTGGTTTCTTTAACTCTCATCTTCACGATTGGATTTATATTAATGTGACACTATTTGGGAAGAAGTTGTCTTGTTAAATGGAATTTGTGGTGGGGTGTTGCAGTGTGGAAACTTTAGCACTGGAGGAATTAATTTGTGCATTGCACTAATTTTGATAAGCCACATGACTCGCATTTTGTTATTTCCTTTATTTTTAATAATTATATTTATAGAGTAGATCCAAGGATTGTTGTTCACAGTTGGTGTGTGGACAAAATTAATTGTAAGCGGGAATCTCCAACGGATAAATGGATTAAAATTAATGTTGATGGAGAAATGATGCAAAACTTCGGAGATGCAACTTGTGGAGGAGTAATGAGAGACAAATGCAAAACATGGGTAGTCGTATTTCACCAAGTTCGGGGTATCTGTACACCTATTGAAGCTGAGGAATGGACCATTTTGAAAGGGATTGAAACAACTGGACTTTGGGTTTTAGATTTGTGATTCTTGAAACAGATTCAAAATCAACATTAGATACTCTTGGTCACTTTGAGAGTAAAGAGAGAACTGCTAGTTAGCAAAAATCAAAAGCTTCAAGAAAGAATTGACAACTAAAATTTTAACATGTCCCAAGAGAAATTAATAGAATAGCTGGTAGAATTGCCAAGAAGTGCCTTGGTATGAAATGGGATTTTTTTAGATTGTGCCCTAACATACTTGAAGGCTTTGTTTTCAAAGACTATGGGATGTCAATCCCTTCATAGTGATAGTGTGTAATTAGTTTATGGGACTTGTTTCCCTCTTTTTATATTAAAAAAAAAGATATGATGAAAGATTGAGACTTTTCAATTGAGAAAAAAAAAACATATTAATTCAATATAATTTGTTGATATGTTGATTTTAGACTCAACATTTCATTTCAATGAGGTAAATTTAATAAAATCAAAAAAAAAATTCACAAATACAAGGGAGAGGTAGAAAAAGTATCAACCTGAGAAATGAGAAAACCTTGACTTGTTAATAACATCTTAGACATAATTGTTCAAAAATAATAAAATCTAAAATAATCATGAGAAAATTATGCTAAATTATATTTGATGTAAGATGTAATATAAATATCCTTATTTAAAAAGATATTTTAAAATAAAAAATTCTTGTAAAATAATTATAATCATCTCTAAACTTTGAGGCTCATGAAAATATAATGCACGAGAAATGTTTATAGTTTTATTAATTTAATTTGGATTTAATTTCAAAGATTTAGTTTATTTAAATTTTATTATGAATTTTTTGATGTTGTATGTACAAAATGAATATGGACTTTTTTATATATTTTTGTCAGTGTAAGGAGTAAACTTTGTCGACCCTAAGGTACAAAAGGCAAATAATAATTTCTTTAAATTAATGTGTGTTTGGTTTTTAGTTTATCAAAAGTTCATTAGCTAAAAATTCATTTGACAAAAGTCAATTATTATAACTAAATTTGTGTTTGGATAATTTTTTTCAAAAGCTATTTTAGCAAATTGAAAGTTATTTTGATTATAGTAATAATTGAGTAAAAATAAAAGAGTAAAAATTAGCTGATGACAAAATCATGCAAAGTATTTTTAAAAAGCTATCAATATTTTTAAAAATAATGAACTTTTGAAGCATTTTGGATGTGTTTTTTAAATGAACTTTGAAAACAACTTAAAGAAACCACACAACTTTTACATTCTTGAATCTTCAAAAGTCCTTTTTGAGTATAAAAAGTAAGTAAACCAAATGAGACCTAAATTGCTACATACACATGGATTGAAATTTAAATTAGTGATGGGCATTACTCATGCCAACTTTAGTTGATAATATGAATTCTACATATAAATATGCCTATTATTCATTCACTATTATTCTTTGATGCAAAAACAAACCTAATCAACGAGTTCTATTATCTTTCTTAATTTTTTTTTTTTGCCAGAGACATGAAACATCATTGAAAACCATAGGATTTACAAAGAGAAATAAAATATAACGAACAAAATACCAATAAGAGAAACAATAAAAGAAAACAAAAAACTCTAAACTCAATACAAAATAGTACAAAGAAAGAAAAAAAAACTACACCGCTAAGATTATCCCAAGCCTTAAAATAAAACTAGAAAGCAAGAAATTTTATTGTCACTGCTGTGAAAACTTCAAAAGATTAGAATTCACGTTAAAACATAGGGATTGAAGTTCATAAAATTATCCTAATAATCTCATCTCTATGTAAACAATAACTATTATCTAACCAGTAAATTTACCATCTTCACGCATTAGATTCCATACAGAGAGGACTAAAACAATCAGCAACGACAACAAACCAGTTATTAGCATCATAAAAAAAAGGCACCCCTATCTCTACCTCAAGCCACCTCCCATCAAATTGAGAAGCCAAAGTTAAGATCTCTATCAGCAAGCCAAAATCATCAAAATCCATACTGGAAAACCTCATACCTCTTTTTGCTTACAATAAGAAGTCGCAAAGCCTACAATTAACAATTGCACAAATTATCAATCCTTTAGACAAATAACTTTTGCCTTGCTGACGCTAATCAAACTCCCATTCCCTTCTCGATAACTCAAATTGAAGACGGGAAACAACACACCCTAACATAAAGAGATGAAAAACTAACCACCACACTCACCCATACTAGGTACCCCTCTTAGTGTAGAAGTCAGCAAGAGAAAGTTTGAAAAACTAGAGATGGATTTAGTGAGGGCAAGTAGAGGCCCCAAATGTCAAAATTATTTTGTTTTTGTCTATTAAAAATGATAAAATTCAATTTTAATTTCCTACTATAATGTAGTTTTGTATTTTGATTTTCCTTTAAGTTGGTTCTACATCCGTCCATGCAAAGAAGAAATAACTCCTATCCATAGAGACAAAAAAGTCCCCACACAAAAGAAAAAAAAAAAAAAAAACTGCAGGAGACAAATACAGATTATGTTAAAAGCCTTAAGACTTCTATAATCTGTAGATAATTTATTAAATAAAGTAATATAAAATATTTTCTCAAAATCTTATGGACTGAAAGATCAACACAATGGTTGACTTTTCTGTATATGTACAATGCGAGCGTTGTTGATTGTTACTGTCTTTCTTTCTTTCTTTTTTTGAATTTCTTAATTGGAGGAAGGAAGATCGCACTTTCCGGTTTCTCCAATTCAAAATAATAATAATAATAATATCTTGTAAAAATGTTTAAAAAAAAAAATAAAAATTCAATCCAAGACATGCGACGAAATCTGAAAAAGACGTGCATACTGGACGGGCCTTCGGATTCAGCCTTCCGCTCCACCTTCCTCAGCTCCTGCTTCTGGGGTGTGGCTTTGCTTTGCTGCAAACCCTAGAACTCGTACTACTTGGAGCTTGGATTCTCCTTCCAAGCTTTTTTTGTTTTACTTGTTTCTCGACTTTTCTCTGCCGCGAACCCTATGAATTTCCCACCGTCGAAACCCTCTCCGACCACGAAAACGCTTAATGCCGAATGCACCAACTGTGGCTTCAGAAACCGTTCGCTTCTCCACCGCATTCAGCTTCGCGGCATCGATCGCCGCCTCTGCACCTCTTGCGTCCTCCGCCTCCACCCTTCTTCCTTCTGCCCCTCTTGCTTCGAATTTTTTGATCATCCTTTGTCTTCTACCTCCTCTGCCTCTGCCCATCGCTTCCTCTCCTGCATAAAATGCTCCTCCCTCACTCACATTCAGTGCCTCCCTTCTCCTCCTCCTTCCCATTCCTCTTTCCTCTGTCCTCCCTGCTCCGTTCCCAACTTCTTCTTCTTCGAACCTGACAAACCTAACTCTGGTTCCACTGGAACCCGGCCCGTTCTTAATAAAAAGCTTGTCCTGGTGCTTCTTTGCGCGGCCAAGATCGCTTCTGCGTCCATGAACAAGGCTGTGACCGTGGCCAGAGCTAAAGCCGATAGGACTGTTAGGGAGGCTACCTTGGCTCGCAAGAGAGCTAAAGAGGCATTGCAACAATTCTCTGTAGTTCTCAAGGTTCGGCATGTCGAGGGTTCCGTGCATGTTGCTGGGTCTAGGAACTTGGGAACGAGGGATACAGGTAACACTCTGAAGGTTGCTAATCCTGGACCAAATTTTAACGATAAAAAATAAGATTTTAGTGGTTGTACAAGATTCCAGAAGGCGCCCTCGTTGTCGCCCCAGAATGTATCATCTGTGACTGCAAAAGAGGCTGATCAGAAAAATGTGGCTCATGTTTCTTTTGGAAGCATTGGAACGACTACTGGGGAGGATGAGTCTAAAAATGATGGCAAATTAGATAATAATGAACGTTTACAGAGCGGCCATGGCACGATGGTTGATGTTACTTGTGGATGAACTTTATTTGTTGTCTGAGGAAGGAATTCAAACTAATCAAGGTAAGAGAGGATTCATTATCTCCATGTAGTCCCATGCTCGGAGTTATTTGGTGAGGATTATCATAATGTGCTAGTGATGGATTCCAATTACTCGGCAGCAATTACTGTTTGCACCTTGTAATTTAGCGAGGATAAGATGCCAATCCATCTTTATTCCCTTGTATCTTATGGACAGGATTAAGGAGGTAGGAGGCTTGGGATAGAGGTCCCACATTTACTATGTATTGGTTATCAGGAAAGCGTAAATCACAATGATTTTTTCAGGTAAAAAAAAAAAAATCACAATGATTTTGGGTAACGGTTCTTTATTCTTAATTTTTTTTCCATTGGGAACATTGATAACTTTGGGCTATGCAAACTTGACATCTAAGCAGCCTTGTGTCGCGTGCTACAGAGATATGGTAGCTTGCTGGGGAAGTTGCACAAATTTGAACATTTTGAATGTTTTCGTGAACATTACGAGTGTGCGCTTACCGCAATACTGGCCTCTTGCCTTATTTTAGCTATTTGGGACATTTGTTCTTTCGCACGCCAATCACCAAATCTTGAGACTTCTGAGTTCTCTCAGTGCGCACATCTGATTTCTGAGGCGTTTTATAATTTATACCATGCGCTCAGTTACCATAATCTTCGAAGCTTGCTGTTTCAGTCCCATCCCACATCACTCCATTTCCACTATCCTCTTGGAAGCATATCACTTTCCTATAAACGAATCCATTATGGTTGTTGTCGAGAATTCCTTTTACAGGATCCCCCAGTAAGTGCTATCGGTAAGACTGACTCGCGCATCATCACCTGTCTGCTGGAATAGGGCAGCTTTGCATCACAACCGAGTTCTCTCAGTTCTGAGTTTTGGATTACAGTACTATATGTCGACAACCAAGTAAATGAGTGGTGTTGGTAGAATCAGGGAGTCAGATCTACTTGTCGACGTCTCCTAGAGAGGGATCTGCCGCCCTCAAGTTTTGACGACATGCGCGGTCCCACAGCAATTCTATTCATTGGCAGTGTGATCAGAAAGAGTCGACAACAATGTTTCCGGGGACGGATAGCGACTTTGTATATACGAGTTTTAATGGCCATTGCCAGGTGGCCGTGATTTCAAATCCACCGGGTATGATGAAAAGGGTTTTGATAATCCAAGTGATTAGTGATTCCACGGGGAGATCTCAAAACAAAACAAGGCTGCGACAAAGTTTTAAAAACTAAGCATCCCATAATACAATATCATACAATACAATGCAAATACATAGGGACCACCAAGGGGGAACAGCCGTTTCCCTTGTGGATTATACACAGCCCATCCTGCAGGAGCCCGCAAAGTAAGAACTAGTTTACCAATCCTGACTGAATGACCGAATATCTGGTGAGCCAGACATTCCAAAAGCATGATCCATATAATCAAATATGATCACCAACATTTAGCCGGCGTCAGCTACAGGAGATACAATATCATTTGGTTTAACCCTTTTTAAAACCCACATCTAGAAACTACCTCTGGGAATCAAGTCTAGAAACTTCATATCATGATTCTGTTCATAGTCAAATTCCGCCAGAAACTTACCTTGTTGAGAAAAGTAGCAAATCATGAACTTCCTAAAATTAACTGAGTGTCGGTTTCTTCAATCTGGTGCAATTGGTGTTTTCTGTCCACAACTAAACTCTGAATTTGGAGGATATAACCATCAGTGAACAAAAGGCAATGCTGCAGCTTCTGGACACGCATTCCACGACATTTGAACATTCGACTTGATAGACCACTGCCCAGATGAAATCTAAATAGCACAGCGGATTATAAACTAACTTGCTTGAAGGTTTATATGCTAAATTCCCAGCAACAAGATATTCAGCCCCCTCCTTGACACTTAGGAGGTTTCTATCCAAATATCCAAGGAGTCCAATCTAATAGATCAATCTCCAAGCAATGTATAAATTTGTAGGAGACAGAATGAGTAGTTCAAAACAACAAGAAGCAAATGCAAATTCCAAGACAGATCACTATGATGTATAGCAGGCCATAGTGACAACCAGAAACTTCGGAACTTCAATGACTGCAAACAACTTCACGGTATTGAGTATCTTGCAACTATGCCCAAGCACTGCTTTTGTTTCTGCCTCAAACTCAGTTGAAGGGCTTCAATTGTAAAAACAGATGTAGCACTCAAAATACGGATACCATACTACAGTTCACTATTACTACCTACCTTCAAGATACGCTGAAAAATTAAAAGATTTATTTGAACGACTAACCCAATGGGTTTTAATAATTCAGTAGCTTATTTTTCTTCAGGCACTTTTCCATTACCACTGCTAGTTTTATATGCATTTATTTCAGCTGTGACACCTAAATCAGAGTTTGCCTGAGGTAGGGTAATTGCAAGCGGTTGCCATCCTGACTGACGATGCATGATCCATTTTTTATTAGCAATCACCATGTTCAAAATCTGGAGAACATCTCCCAAAGCAACATCTTTTAAGCACATATTCTTTATCACAGTACCTGCTTCATATCTACAGAAAAGACAACAGAATCTGGTAAGAATTCTGAGAAAACTTTCAGGAAGTGAAAATAAAACAAACTAGAAGATCCTTACTTGCATTGTGTACCCATTAGCGCAAGTCTTCCAGATGGAGTGGTTAAAAATTTTTGGAGTTCATCCCATGTTTCTTTTGAGTGTCGATTGGGATTACCACCTATAGGGTTTACACACTTCCAAAGTTTATCATTCTTACCAATATACAACTGCAAAGCACCTAAATTCTGTTTGACCACCATCTGTTGTTCAATAGCACTCTCCAAAGCCTTCTTAACATCAGTGTTGCAGTGTTTAGGATCTCCATATCGGATGCAATCAGCTATATTTGCCTCAGTTGGCATTATCTTTTCATTTTTTAATGTGTTCAAGGCAAGCAAAACAACCCCTATAAGCCCTTGTACATATTCAGAAGGTTTAGGGCATCCTGAAGATCCCCACATGCCATTACCAGGAGGGTTATTATTACCCATTGCTGCCGTAGATGTAGGTGGGTATTCTGGACCATAAGAGTGAACACCGTATAATTGTTGATTGTTATGTACCATATGTCCATTTCGTTCATCAACTGACCTTACAGGATGTGGAGCATTATTGATAGGATTCTGCTTTGGCAATCCAGATATGTTCAAAGTACCTATATCTGGCACATTTGTAAGTGGTCCTGATGTGAAGTTGGGTCCACCAGTTCTAGGAGGCACTACTGAAGTAGCAAAAGAATGGGTATTTGTAGGATATTGATTGTTTGGTGCAAAAGCAGGTTGCATTGGATAACCGTTGGGTCTTAATGGCTGTGAATAAGGCATTTGGCTATTGCCTGGTAGATTGCTGCTATTGCTCCATAACTGAGCTGGACTGCCATGCGCAAAATTTGGGGCAGATCCATTTGGGGGTACATTCAGGCTGTAGTTGCCAGGTCGGTAAGAGTTTATGCTGCTATGATTTTCTTGAAGACCAGGGAGTTGGTTTAAGCTCTGGGTCCATTTGGTTGAGTGGGGTTTCTCCGAGTTGTTTTACCCTGATATCTAGAATCTAATCCCCTTCCAGCATTTGGAAATTTATGATTATGATTATGATTATGATTTCCTAGATGAACTTCAGAAAAGGAATCCCTTTGTTGCTTTGTCTGAACAGAACTAGAGACCGGGATTTGTAAGGTGTCAGAACTTGATAAGTTGATACTATTACCAAGTTGTTGTGATTCACCATTTGTTAGAGGAGGTCCTCCCGCTAAGAGACTGGTCCACAGCCATACACTCTTAGCAGCTGCGACTAGGGGTGCAGATGCTTTCTGAGGCTGTGCAAGAAGAATATTATATCTCCTCATACGCAATTGATGAAGTGCATTAGAGAAGTCTCGATCACCGGAAATTAATAGATAATTAGCAGGTGCAGGATTATCCACAGCCCAAAACAGCATATCAACAAGAATCTTTTTGTCACTAGCGTCTTTAACACCTATGACAAAAAATGGAAATGTCAGGAAAAAAATCTGGTAGCTCAGGAATTGAAGGTCCCACGTTATCTTATAATTCATGAATTAAAGGTCCAAGGTTATCTTCAATATCATGGAATTTATAATTTAAATTGACTCGGGGGAGAAAGTCCATCCAGGTATTACAGCTTTAAAAACCTCTTGAAATGAGCTAATCATCAAATTTCAATGAACTTCGTTATAATCAGAATGTCAAGTTGAGCTGCCCTAAGGGTCCATCGAATTTCCACATGATAAGATAATAATTTCATAAAAAAGGAGAGTTAAAAAGCCCTTGTAGACAAGGGACGTGAAACTAGTGAACATCTTCCGCCCCGAGGCAATAATAAAAGGAAATTCTAAAGAGCAAGGCTTCAACTCAATATACCATCAATCATATATGAACATGAGTTTATTCTATAAAATCATCTAAATTCATTGAGAAGACGCATAAAGACTCCAACCGAAAGTCGCCCTGATTGATCCAGGAAAAAATGATCCGCATCGACTTGATCCTCCAACAGAAAAACAGACAACAACTAAACGAATAGGATTCTAACTAGAGAAAAAGCCCCAAACGAAATAAGGCATATCCCAGATGCAACATTCATCGTTTAAAAAAAAAAGCACATGCAACATAGCAGACGAAGAATGAGTAAAAGGGGCGCAAACTGATAATATCGTGAGAATAAGCATCAGAGATATACCAGCCGGGACATGATTGAGGGAGATTCCAGTACTGGAGAGAGCGTGCTGTACAGAAGCCGTGATGCGAGTAGTATCGCCGTAGGCGGAGATGGAAACGGGTCCACAATAATTCATCTGAACCAGCGCCGAGCTGATGTTCTGGGCGATTGCATGCGGATCGCAGCCTTTGGGGACATGACAGTTCTCGATGTCCCACCACACGGAGATCTTCGCCGACGAGTACTGTGCCTCCGCATTCGGCGTCGCTCCACCTCCGCCCATATTCTCACTTCCCACGCTTCTGCAAAGAGATTTCGATGACGATCGGCCCTCCGATTACAGTAATATACAGACACGCTGTACCGGTTCGTACTATGACGATTGGGGTAGGAGTTAGAACTCGAGGGAGGGCTGGAACGAGAGACAGAGAAGGCTAAGCGAAGTTGTTTTACTTGTTATGCGGCTATTTTTTGGGGTGTAAAAAGGGGAGCTTCGATGGACTGCTTCCGTTTGTTTTGACGAATTTGCCCTTGTTTAGTTCTTTTCACTTCCCCGAAATTTCACAGCTCGCCATTGGTTGGACATGCGAGAATTACCATATAC